AGTAGCTTCCTTTATAATTATAAAATAATGATCCGGAATTCGGGGGGCATGATATCGTTATATGCTTTCCATCAACCGCCCCGATGCAATTCGGAAAGTTCCACATGGTGTTAAATCCGAAGCAAAGCGTTTCCACTCATGTTTCTATGGAACCGACAGGGTATATACCACCCAGCTCCTGCCAAATTGCTTCACAGACCTCGCTGATAATGGTTACTACAGTGGAGCGCCCCATTTTAAAAGCTGTAGCAAGTGTTTGCTTGCTGTCTCCATGTGCTAGATAACTGTATATGTAATCGTAATGTTAAAATTTGGATGTACTCATAGGTATGTAGATATTTTATGAAATTGGTGTAAACCATCATAACTCACGTAAGCGTTAAGAAAAGACGGCATTTTGATGAAATCGGTGGCCTGTTTGATATTTTAGTAAGCCGTTCCTTTAAAAATTCATGCAATAAATCGAAAACATTGGGAGTCAAGCGGACACGCTTTTTAAATTGCTCCGGATCGTTTTGATACATTTTTTGGAAGCTGGAAGCAAAGAGGCCCGTAGTGTCACGGTCTTGGTAAAGCCTCCTCACCCAAAACCCTCGTCTTGAACTTCTTTTTAGACACTCTAAGGCTTCATGCATCAACAGCACTATTAATAAACATCGAAAATTTCATCAAAAAACATTTTGAATGTATTTTATTTCACAAAACTAAATTGACACCACAATTTCAACAATTAAATAAACAATGCGCAAGTGTTGTCAAAGCGTCTATTGTGACATATCTCTCGCGCTCTTCTCTTTGCTGACAAAGTTCGAAATGTCACGCGAAGCTACAAAGTTCTATCTGACATCGCCTTTAGGATTTATTTTTTGAACAGAGTTTCCGCCTGTCTACAAAATAATAATATTTTCACCGTTCTCCCGATTTTCAAATATGAGGTGTCAAATGAAAGGGCTTGGACTCTAGACGTGCAGTAAGGATATATTTTTTAAATAGGGTTGCCACGTGCGTTTAAAATTATAATATTTACACCGTTCTCCCGATTTTCAAAAATGAGGTGCCAAATGAAAGGGCTGGGCCTCTGGATGTGCAGTGAGGATACGTTTTTTAATAGGATTGCCACCTGCGTTTAAAATTATGATACCGTTATCCCGATTTTCAAAAATGAGGTGTCAAATGAAAGGGCTTGGCCTCTAGATGTGCAGTAAGGATATATTTTTTTGAAAGGGTTGCCGCCTGCATTTAAAATTATGATATTTACACCGTTCTCACGGTTCTCAAAAATGAGGTGTCAAATGAAAGGGCTTGGCCTCTAGATGTGCAGTAAGGATATATTTTTTTGAAAGGGTTGCCGCCTGCATTTAAAATTATGATATTTACACCGTTCTCACGGTTCTCAAAAATGAGGTGTCAAATGAAAGGGCTTGGCCTCTAGATGTGCAGTAAGGATATATTTTTTTGAAAGGGTTGCCGCCTGCATTTAAAATTATGATATTTACACCGTTCTCACGGTTCTCAAAAATGAGGTGTCAAATGAAAGGGCTTGGCCTCTAGATGTGCAGTAAGGATATATTTTTTTGAAAGGGTTGCCGCCTGCATTTAAAATTATGATATTTACACCGTTCTCACGGTTCTCAAAAATGAGGTGTCAAATGAAAGGGCTTGGCCTCTAGATGTGCAGTAAGGATATATTTTTTTGAAAGGGTTGCCGCCTGCATTTAAAATTATGATATTTACACCGTTCTCACGGTTCTCAAAAATGAGGTGTCAAATGAAAGGGCTTGGCCTCTAGATGTGCAGTAAGGATATATTTTTTTTTAGTAGAGTTGCCATCTGCGTTTAAAATTATGATATTTACACCGTTCTCCCGGTTCTCAAAAATGAGGTGTCAAATAAAAGGGCTTGGCCTCTAGATGTGCAGTAAGGATATATTTTTTTAATAGGTTTGCCACCTGCGTTTAAAATTATGATATTTACACCATTCTCCCGATTTTCAAAAATGAGGTGTCAAATAAAAGGGCTTGGCCTCAAGATGTGTGATAAGGCATTATATTTTTGTATAGGATTGCCACCTTTTTAAAAATTATAAAATCTGCACGATTCGTTTGATTAAAAAAATAAGGTCTCAAATGAAAGGGCTGGGCCTGAAGACGTATAATAAGGATTTATTTTTTGAACAGAGTTGCCGCCTGCCTACAAAATTATAATATTGATACCCTTCGCATGATTTTCAAAAATGAGGTTTTAAATGAAAGTGCCTGGCATTTAGAACTGCACCAAACTTTTATTTTTGAATTGGGTTGCCTTCTGTCAAAAAGTTGTAATGATTACACCGTTTGCCCGGTTTTAAAAAACGCAGGGTCATATAAAGAGGCTTTGCCTACAGGTGTGCAAGAGGGTTTATATTTTTTGTAAATGCTGTTTTCGTCAACTAGTTAGGGCACTGCTATGCAGATGGTTGTTCTTACCAAAGCATGTTAAAATTGCGTTTTCTTATGCATGCATGTGTATGTATGTAGTTACTTTGGTTGCAGATGGTTGTTTTTACCAAGGCATGCTAAAATTGCGTTTCCCAGTAGAAATCGGTTGTATGCATTCATGAAGAATGCTTGCTATATGAGTGAATTAGCGGGAACAATTCATGCGTAGTCATGAATTTTCACGAATAAATTCAAATTCTAGCGAATTGCAAGCGAATGTACGTTGTCGTTGTTTTAAGTACATTTCTTGATAAATTTGAAGTGGAATTTTTGTAATATTTTCAGTCTTGTACAAAAATTTTTGTGAACGGACGTGTTCTGCGATACTATTTTCAGTACAAACGGGCTTTTACAAGATATGCATTTGCATATGTAAATGCTACTTTTTTGTATGTCCCCGTATATTAAAATGTATCAGAAAAGTAGCATTTACAAATGGGGATACATATCTTGTAAGAATGCTTTAATACTGTTCCATTAATGCATTTTTGTATGTTTGAAACATTAATACAGCCATATGCATACAGCAGTAGTACAAGTGTATGGTTAGGTTGCAAACAGAGTGGAAACGAAGCCGAAGACGAAGATGAAGACGAAGCCAAAGACGAATTGCTTGCGTTGCGGGCAAGCTGGCGAGTATACATAGTGCAAGATGAATGATATGATTATTTGTTTCTAAATAAAACCCTTTTTTTTAGATAAAATCAAAAGAAAATAAAGAAAAAACAGCAATTCATGAAACAATTTTTATAGGACAACTTTTGGAAGACGGACAGACATTTTTCGAATATACAAGAATGCCAATTAATAAGTTTGATTACATTTTGCCAAAAATTTAGCCAATTTCTTGAAAAACGAGTTTTTTCACAATTGCAAACAGTTAAATAAATTGTAAACAATTCATCACAGCAAGCGATTCGGCTTTGAAAACAGTACCGCACTGTTTCAAGCTGACCGCTTGCGCAACGTCTTCATCTTCGTCTTCGTCTTTGCTTGCACTGTAATCACTTTCATATGTTTACTACTGCACTGTTTTTCGTCTTCGACTTCGTCTTCATCTTCGTCTTCGGCTTCGCTTCGACTCTGTTTGCAACCTTAGAGTACGAATACGCTCTGAGAAACCACGCGTGTTAAATGGAAATGAAGGTTCATTTATACTGGCATGTATACACAGCAGCAAGCTCATGCCACCACCAGCCACGGTGCAGCGAACAAAGGTGGCGCCGTCAGTGGTACCGCTACTTTGGTTTTGCCGATTTTGACAGTTGTGGTAACTTGTAAATAAACCTTTGTTTCAAATCAGCGAAAGGGAAATTTGAATTAGAAGTAAAAAATCAGTTTAAATTGTGTTAATTTGCATTTTGTGAGTGATTTTTGAGTTCAAGACTGCGTAAAAACTAATAAAATGAAGTGCTGTGCGTTAAGTTTCGACAGCTATCAAGATGCAAGATGCGTAGATGCAAGTGTAGCGCAGTTTTCTGCAGCAGCTTTAATTGCAAAGCAATGGAGTGCACTAAAACGTTTGCTAAAGCAAAAATTAAAACACGTTTTTCGCTGTAAGGTGAACTGTTTTTGCAGTTTCAACTCGTTCTTCTTTTCGCTCTATTCTTTGTTTACTTGTGGTACACAAATGTCAACACCCAGGACGGCGCAATCTTGTATTCTATCATTCTTGACCAACAGCGATGTCGTAAGCATAAAATTTCTACTGGGTTGCTTATACATCCATATGTATGTATGTATATACTTTGGTGCGTTTATTCATACTAGTGTTCGCCCAGCGGTTGAAATCCAACCGATAAAATTAAGGATAGTTTATGTAAGTTGAATGAGCTAAAATAACATTAGTTGGAATGGGTTAAGTGGAGGGGAGTTTAGCTTAGTACTTGGCATAACATAACATAACCATAACATAAGAATAAATAACATAACATATGAAGCATAACACACCACAATATAACATCGCACACTCTTCAGTTGTATTTCCTTTTTATCCCTTTTTTCACCTCTATCTAAATCTTATTTATTTTGGTTCATTTTATGCCAAATGATGTTGCCTTTGATGCCACATCAAGTGATATCATGTCATGTGGTGAAATTGGGTGTGGTGNTCTTCTCCATACTCAACTTTACCTTCTTCCTTGTTTGAGTCTAATCTATTCATGTACATACATACATACATTTTATTCCTGAACTGCTGCTTAGCACGTTTCTTTAATTCGCTATCAATATTAAAGCATACATTTAGGGGGCATTTCCGCCCCAACCATGTACATGTGTGCATTGGTATTGGTGTGACTTTTGAATTGATTTTTTCGCTCTATTTTAAACTGATTTAAAATTTTAAAAATTGCCTGCACATCAGCATCAAAATACCTTTCTAATGATATATAACTGTTTATACCTTAGAAGTATAGTTTAGCCGTAAAAGGGGTGTAAAGGAAACATGATTGCCTATTTATATATATGATCTACCTACATATGTACAATATTTATACATATGTACATTTTACAACTATAGGTGTATTCTTTTGCAACCGAGCTACAAAAGAACGCTCGCTTAAATTACGAAATACACGCAAGAAATAACACAAACTCGGCTATTTATCCGAATTCAGCCAGCAGCCGGATTCCAGCTTTCGCTATCGCTAAAACTCCATCGCCAAAAAATACTAAATGGATTTTAGCAATTTTGGGAGATTTTTGCGATTCGCGCTTAAAAAAGCATCTCTAAAAAGTTTCATTTTTGGATCATTTTTTTTGGTGGGTTTTAGCGATGAACAAAATGAACCCGGATAAAGTGAGTGAACAGTTTTTGACAGCTCATCAGCTAAAATGGCGATTCCAGCGTCTTTTCCATTGCTACAAATCTCCATTGTTGGCTTAAAATTCTGCGAATTTGGCGACTAGAAAAGGTTGGTGCTAAAAAAATAACGCGACAAAAAAGGTAATCCTTATATTGTTTTTTGTTAAAAATACTCTTTTATATTAAAGAAATTGTTTAATTAATAGCAAAATATGGAAAACCGCAATAGCAAAAGAGTGACGAAGGATAAAAAATATATGCTCGTTCAATATTTGGAGGATCATAGAGAGTTTGCTCACGACAGGTATGCAAAACATTTTCCCGTAAATGATTTTGTTTAAATTTTTTCTTTTTTAAGATTCGTCAATGGCACCGGGAGCAAAAGTTTAGCTGAGCAGTGGAACCACCTCGCCGAAAAATTAAATGCTTGCGGAGGATCCATAAAAGATGGTGAAGGATGGAAGAGAGCGTGGGTAAATATGAGGTAAATATGTTTTGAAAATGTATGTATATAAGTAGCACTAAGATTCTTAAAATTGTTTTCGATCAATGATAGGAGCAAGGCCAAACAAAAATCCCAAGATTTGAGAAATGCTATGGAGCGAAGCGGGGTAAATTCATCAATTACCGAAAAACATCTCAGTAACCTCGACGAGCGCATCATTGGCGTGATGACCACAGTGGCAGAGGTCGGTCAAAGAGAAGTTATNTATTTCTATCCATAGACTCGAATTCGATCAAAATGTTTTTGTAGTTTGAACATACTTACATATGTATATATCTATAATTTATATAATAATTTTTATTTACAGAGAAGTTCCGGCGCAGTAACTAGCGTGGAATTATTTGACGCCCCTGTGGACCAGTTTGAGATAGAGGTATGTACATACGCATTAAGATTGTCTCCGTTTTTTATTTAACTTTTTATTACAGTTTCTTGAAGGAGGCGATGAGGAACCGCAAATGGCACCGGATATGGTTCCTCAGGATCCACTTCCACCACAACGTCGGGCTCCCAAACGCAAAAATTACTCTTTAGAAGAGAGCAACGCCAAAATGATACAATTAGAAGAACGCAGAGTCGTCTTGGCGGAAAGAAAAATTGCGACTCTGGAGAAAAGAAACTCTATGGAAGAGAGAAAGGCCGACGTATTGTCCACATAGTTGCCAACTTGCTGCTTTAAGCACTAGATTTGGTGCTTTTTGAAAATTCAAACGCCAAAAAAAAAATTATTTAGTGCTTAGTGCCTTTTTTAGTGCTTTTTTCTGAACTAAAATTACTTCGAGATAGTTAAAACCTGAAATAATTTGTAATTTTTAAGGCTGTGGCAGCACTGAATTTACAAGAACCTACAAATTTAAATGGAGAAAAATACAACCATGATTGATAAAAAGCTGAAGTTGCAAACCCACCTTCTTAAATTCTATTCGCGTTGAAAATGCTAGTACGCAAGTAAGTTAAGTATTTCTTTTTTTCTTTTCTAATTATTTGTACAAATGTTTTTTTTTTTTACCACCTGAGTAAAACACATCCTTTCTTGGTGCTGAATCCAAATCTGGCCTCACAATTGCTCTAGCAATAAAATTTTGAGATATCCTAACCTCAAAGTGCCATAAACACGGTTTTTAGCGATATTTGAGGTTATATAATGAAAACATCAAATTATTTGCTCATTTATAATTAGGGCATCATTTTCGTTTGATGCGATTCGATTTTTCTTTCTCGAGATATACCAGTTTTTATGTGCAGTATTTCGGTATTATGTTATGAAAAAGCATCCCTTGATTAAAAAAAAATTGGTGCTTTTAGTGTGGTAAAACGCTTTTTTTCCAAGTTTTTGGGGCTTTTTGAAAATCAAAAGATGACAACACTGATTGTCCAATATCTTAAATAAATTGGATTTACTTCTACAAAGGTGATTGGTCTCGGAGTGATCGTAGAAATATAGATATTTGAGCTTTACGGTATGTTGCCAATGAATTATGAACGGTACTCAGACGTTTATATTTTGACGTTTAACTGATTTTGTGAACTTAAAAATTTCTTTTATAAAAATATTGTAAATTCAATAACATATACCACATCTATCGTTGCTTTAAACTTTGTGCGAAAGTCGCGAGAAATCAACAAATTACGAAAAGCTGTGATCAAAGTTTAAAAGCTTTTATCAGAATTTTTAGAAAATGTTTACGTACGCAGATATATAGCCTTCAATTTTAGTTCCATAAAATGCAAGTTTGAAGTCGGTCGAAATCCGCGTTTGATTTTTCGAAAATATCTTTGGTTTAAGGTGTAATGCATTTTCTTCAACATAAAAAAATGCCGACATACTTTACGTGGAAGAAAATGCAGAACACCTTCAACCAAAAAAAATTTCAAAAAATTAACCGCGAATTTTTACCGACTTCAAACTTGCACTTTATGGTACTAAAATTTAAGGCTATATAAATGCGTAGTAAAAACATTTTTTAAAAATTCTGATAAGTTTTAAATTTTGATGAGTTTTTCGTAATTAGCCGATTTTTCGCGAATTCTCCACAAAGTTTGAAGCTACGATATATGTGGTCTATGTTATTGAATTTATTATATTTAT